TTTTTTTTTTTTTTTTTTATAGAATTTTCGATTAAAAATCTAATTTTAACAAAATTTGATATTTTAAAATAACTATTAGTGATTTAATATAATTTTAAAAAATGTATAGGGAGTTGAAATATTTTGTTACTACTTATCAATGTATAATTATTTAATACGCACAACAACATTTTCAAAATATTTTTAGATTATAGTTTTATGTTATTTATACGATAGGTAGATATAATATTTACCGTGCAATACGATTAATGCCTTATGAGTTATTAATTTATTATGGTATAAGAGTTTACTAGAATATATATTGTTTTACCATACAGTATTTCTATTTAGTACCTACTTTATTAAAATTTTTCCTTATCAAAAAAAAAAAAAAAAAAAATTATTTGTGGACATGAAAACAAAAACTATTGAAAATTTTTGTTATAAAACAAAATAAATTAACTTCACTTCTTATAATAAACATTCAATTTACTGATTCTACATTAATTAAAAAACTAATAAGTCAAGTTACTAGTTAAATTAACGAAAACTCAAAAGTAACTAGTCAAGTTAGAAAGATAAAATTAAATTAACTTCTTAACTCGTTAATGCGCCCTGCGTTGAAATATTATAATATACAGTGTAAAAAAAATTATAAAATCTACGGGGATAAATAAACTTTTTATTTTATTTCTTTATTTTTTGATTTTATTCGGTATAATATAATACAAGCGTTTGCCATATCTAAATATCTTATGATATCGTGGGCACCAACGTATAGTATATATTTGTACTAGAAAGTGGACTTATTTGTCGCACTATATTTTTGATAAGGTTAAGTTATAACCACTATATTCAGTTACATATATGTCATCCAATTATTCGATCTGTACGACGGTGTGTTTGAGTAAGTCCATCGTCTGCAATGGCAAAGGGTTAAAACGAAAAAGTATAGAAGACTGTATGTTTTATCACTATATTTATGCAGTAAAATTAAATGTCAAGTATACGAATTTTCTTGTATAATAATAAATATCTATACGCATACAATCGTCAAAATCTATGAAAAATATCAAAACTCTTAGAGAAAAAAAGTTGTGCCCATATAAATATTAAATTAAATATTTAATGTATTGATTACAATTATATAAACTAATCACTACAACAGACCGCCATAGTGCCATATCGTAATACAATATTATCGTGTTTTGTTTTCAGAACGAGTGGTCCAGACACTGTCGGTTGCCGATGTTCAATCCGGAACTACAACCGGAACCGGTAAACTTGCAGAACAACAACCACCACCATCGTCGACCGGAACCGGGCCGGGCGCTGGAAATCGCGGGCAGGCTGCAGCAGGATCGCGTGGCGCACAATCGACCGGCGGCACCCGTGAACCCCCCCGCACAAGACGATCGAGAACAGACCAGACACCACGCCTAGCCGAGACGAACGCAGTCGTAGCACACAATATTATACTATTATTATGGTAATATATTTTAAGGTTCATTCTACATCATCACAGCCCTGTCAGACGGTACGAATCGTTTACAACAATACTTAAATAATAATAATAATAATAATCATCGGACGACGACGATCGCGGCGCCTGTAATAATAAAATGCGATAGGCATTCAATATTGTTTTGATTGTGTGGATGTGCGAAGAGACACATAACTACAGGCAAAACGCAATCGTCCGATTATTTTTTCAAAATTTATGTAAAAAAAAAAAAAAATTAATAAAAAATTTGTTACGACTTCTATATTATTATTAACGTATTATATCATATTTTAGTCGTCGTTGATCGACAAGCTTATGCGATCAGAGACTTAAATTTATTGTTGTACTTATTATCGACCCCCCTCCCCCTGCCATCAGACTTTGATAGCGTTGTATAATACACACTGCTGCCTCCGGCACGTACATAGAGTTAGATTTAATAATAGTAATGATAATAATAATAATATAAGAGTACGAAAAAAATTATCCCAACCCCATAGGATTAAACGCGTCAAGCCGAATGGACGCGTGTTAAATTGTATAAAATAAAAAATAAATATAAAAAAATATACATATAAAAAAAAAAAAACGCTGTTTATAAAAATAAAAGATCGAACGAATAACGATAATACAAACTGCAGCGGTTTGGGCGAATTCACGTTTTGGCCGTTATTGACGAGTACGCAAAATGTACGACTTACAAGGTATAATCAGCTGTCGTTACCTACAAAAATTTTGTATATTCTTTTTATTGCATCGTGCGTTTTCCAGCGTAACTATATTATTACTCGTGACAACCGGAAATGCGCATTTCTTCCGATATTGCCAAGTCAGTTGGATAAATATCAATTGCGCGTAAACGTTGACTTTTAAGTTCTTTTGAGTTCTAATAATGCGTCACTCGAAACGTACCTGTTTTCGGTAGGCATATCCGTGTGCGATAACGAAGCGCGCGACTTATTACCTAACCTATGCACTTGAGTACTTTGGGTAAGTACTAAAAGCATTTTATTCTAATCGCCTTAAGATGAAATACGATCGTCTGTGTTATTATATTGCAACAGTTAACGCAACCGCTGAAACTCGAGGGGGAGTGTAAAATCAATGTGAATTTAGCTTGTCATGTGTCATGTTTATTATTATACGAGTTATTATTTCGTTATACCTAGCTATTATTTTAAGTTTAAAAACGAATATTATGCAATGTTATTATATTTTTATTATTATTATTATTAATATATATTTTTTTTTCAAATAATTGTATGGAAATAACTACTTACGCTTTTTTACGTTATTTTTTTTTGTTATTAGTTTTTAATTATATATTACGTAATATTTATTCATAGCATTTTTAACATCAACTAAAAATTGACCAAGTTTTTAACTATTATAATCGTATATCTTTGTCTCGATACAATTATTTTTACTGTTACCACTACTGTTAATCTATTTCTAAGGATACCCTGGGTAAAACTGCTGTTGTATTATAGTTTTGAATAGATAAACAATATTTTAATTGAAAAAAAAAAAATTTCTCCTATTTAAGAATTTTTCTAAACCTAATAAAATATATGTAGGTGATACAGGCACATACTTAAACAAAAAAACAAAAAAAAAATCAAAAAAAAATCGAAATTTATAAATCATAATAATAATATAAATCACAAATTTAAATTTAAAATAATATATGAACAAAAAATTGTTTCTTATAATATTTTAGTCCTCACCCTCTTTATGTGCCTGAGCTAAAGTCACATTTCATTTTAAATTATGGTTTTTATAGTACTTTTTGAAAAACATACTTCGATGAATGCTTAAACATTTATTTAATACAAAAAATCTTCATTCCATTCAACTTCTTGACTTACGATTATTATTACTACAATTATTATTGTAACTATTATTAATATTAGATTAGTTTAGACATTTTGAGTGACATATTATTCGTCTTAGCATTATTGCAATACTAAATAATAATAATATTTTAGGTATTATTACTTAAATATTAATTGATTAAAATATAATATAATTAAGCTTCTTTTTTTTTTTTTTTTGTCAATATTTTTATGTACGTACCAACGAGTCATTTGGTTAAAATAAATCATAAAAGTTTATCTACCTATTAATAATAATAATCACATACATTTTTAATATAAAACATTGTTACACAAATAGTTTTAAGTGTATAATTTAAAATTGTATTATTATGATAGAATCTATAGTATAATATTATATTATTTATAATCTAAATTTTGTGTGTTAAAAATAGCTGTTATATTTGTTTTTAAATATAACAAAATATATAAAATTCAATAATTGTTAGTTATTTCAGTTGATTATAATTCCACTCGACGTCTGTCATCGTCGAAATGTGTAAAAAAAAAAAAAAAAATGTTTAATTCATACGTGGAATGAGTTGTGTATTTTTGAACACTACCTACCACTTAAATTATAAACTTGTACAACTGTATTAATTCTATGTATGTGTTTATGATAATATTATTATATATGTCATGACATGAACCACCGTATTCTAAGAAGGACCCAAATTATATTGTCTAAGTCTATACAATCTCACCAATCGGAGTCCCGATCAATATGACTTAAAGTCACAAGTGTTATTGATATACCGAACCACTACAATTTAATATCTACTTTGAAGAAAATCATGTTTATTTTGGTATCGCATTATCATAAACGGTCTGTACAGATATGCAAAAAAAAAATCATACATATATTATATTAAAATATGTACCTATATAATATTTATATTTTACTTACAGAATTTAATTTAACCTACAATTTAAGTCGTCCTTGCACTTATACTGCATTATACGCACTACTTAATTGTTCATTCGACTTACGATTGTTATTTATTAAATCGTATCACTGTAAATCGCTCTTGCTAATCCTTCAAATTTTATCGTAAACGATTTTATGACAAAAGTACGAGTAAGTACATACAAATATTATATTATTATAAATTTTATAGGAACAAAAATTTCAACTTACATCCGCGTTGATCTATAGATCATTAGTTATATAGGGAGTAGAGACGGCGGCGGTGGCGGCGAAAGCAGACATGATTTATCTAATCACCTATTTATAATATTGGCCTCAGTTTAAAATTGTTTGCACTATAAATGCAAGTGTTTGACAGATAATAGTCAATTAATGCTGTTATAACGCTTAATCACACATAATGTATTCGTCACGGTTATTTTATTTAGTTTAAAAATCGATCGTCTGTGATTGTGAAAAAAAAAAGTAAAACAATATTTTTATCGCGTCTTTGCGACTAAGTGAAATATTGAATGAGCTTATTTATTTATTTGAAAAACTTATATTAAAAGTTTGTAATTTTAACAGTATAAGGTGCCCTTTGTAGTATATGTATAGAAATGAAAAACTGTATCAAATAACTATATCATTCCACGATTAAGTATTAAATACCTTTTTTTTTACGACATGATTAAGAAAAATTGTCTATATATATTAAAAAATATAGGAATAAAAATGAAAAGTCTAATATTTTATTACAGCGAGTACGGGAAAATAATCGTTTTTTAAAATTTCGGTCAAAATGTGATAATAATAAGTAATCAAGGTATATATTTGTAATTAATATACCTACAGGCAATTTGATTGAGACGTTAGGTACCTACTTTGGGCTACGAAATATCACAGGGCGTGACGTTCTGCACGCACGCCTATATTTTACATGTTTCCGGAAATCAGAGGCCACGGCTATAGGTACCGAACACTCAGCGCATTTTCAATGTTTTGATCTACTGCCAAGGACGAAAAAAGATAATAGGCTTATCGCTAGATATGTTTTTATTTCACTAGCCAACAAATAATAATATTATTGATCGTTAAGTTCGTAAAACAAACTAAACATTATATAATTAATGTGTTTTGCATTTTAATAACGCATAAATTATTTTTGCAACGTATTCGCTGCGTTTTTACAACATACATTTTATGAATCATATTATTATTAAATACTATATAGGTTTGCGTACATTATAACGAAAATACGAAATATCGTAATAATATATACCATGCCACTATGTACAATAAACAAATAAGACAGACAACGTTCGAAATAAAATTAAAATAATACTTATCGTACAAGTATAATTATGTGACTATGTTCTTGTAGAAACGTGCGCAACATCCATTGTATCCATTACGTTTTAATATGAACGAAGATTAGAGTACTTACATACTAACGAACACGTATAAAGTATCGTGTAATTAATTAAGACAAAAATGCATGGACTTTAAGTTCCATGCACTTTTATTTAGATTTGTATTTGTAATTCTACATGTACATCATTAAAACTCAAGTGGTAACCACAAACATAATAATATATTATACATACGTGTGCATATACATGAAATTGCAATTTAAACGCATTCGAATAAGTCAACAAATTTAAAATGCTTAACGATATCTCGTGGTACTTTTGAGAGAAGTCGTGAAATTTATTATTTAAGTGTACTTATGCATATTCAATATTTATACATACATATACTCGTATACAGTCGTTTTAAGTTTTGGGAGTACGTAACTGCGCAAGAATTACCGCCATTTTATTAAATAGCATTGTAAATCAACAATAAAAGGTTTTTTTTTTTTTTTGGACCAAAAATCCACAAAATAACTTTTTTTACCTTATACATGCCTATTGGTTTTGCCCATTATTTACACCTAAAAATACTAAATAAATAAATTATATCAAATTTTAAAAATGTATCCTTAATAAGGAAAACACGTCACACATTAGTCAATAGTTAAATTGACAATTAATTTGATTCATTGAGTGAGAAACTATATAATATTTACTTATAAGAAATATTTACCATTAAAGAATATGACTACGTCGATTTATCGGAAATAATTCACCGCATGACAATTCACATAGATCACATAGGCCAATTTATGGTAAAATTTTTGATTATATAGGTATGTATATTATTTCGAATTAATCACTGTCCGTTTTTGTTTTTAAATGAATTAAAAACTGACTAAATTGTAAATTATAATACGAGATATTACAATCAGCATTGTTGTAATTAACGTAAAATGTTGTATGAAATACATCGACAGATTTTTTTCTACTCATCGTAATACTATCAAATATAGTATGATAAGTACCTAGTAGGTATATGTTATGTATTACATTTAGGTCATACATTTTTATTCGATAGAAGTGTCATTAAAATATATATTATTTATATTTGACTTTTGAAATA